TCCTTTCCTTTTTTTGCTTCCTTTCCTTTTTTTGCTTCCTTTCCTTTCCTTGACTCATCCTCCACAAAGGTCCACTGCTGGAATTGTTCCAACTCTTTTCTAAACTGCAGTTGTCGCCTTTATTCTAAAAAACCCGTGTCCGATCCTCGTAACTCCAGTAATCTCTGCCTCATCTTTAACTTTTCATTTATCTCCAAAGTTCTTGAACAAAGCGTCGCGTCTCGACTCTGTTCCCATTTAACTCCAGTCCATTTGAATGGTTCCCATCTGGTTTCTGCCCCGGTCAGAGCACAGAATCTGCTCTCATGAAAATCACCCATGTTCTTCTCATGGCAGCAGATTCTGCTTTACTTTCCGTCCTTCCCTCCCAGTCACTTCAGGTGTAACCCAGAGCTCTGTCCTGGGACCCCTTATTTTCATCACTTTTGCTAAATTCAATATCTATTTTCACTGCTTTGCTGATGACACCCAGCTCTTCTTATCCCCCTCACCAAATTCTTCACTTCCAGCTAGGGATGCACGATATTATCGGCCTGGTATCGGCCGATATTAGCGTTAAAGTTAAATATCGGACATCGGCCATTCCATCAAAATAACTCACCGATATAAAAGGCGCTGTTTTTGTATGACAACCCAGTGATGAGCATGCATGCAGCGCCAGCACAACGTGATGACGTCACGTGCACCTACCTGATCTGATCACAGTGGAGAGGAAGAAGTCAAAATGTCGGCGATGCGGAAGTTTTTTTGTTGAGGGTATTGGATTCCGAAGAATTTTGGACTACGTTGAGCCTCGTTACATCGTCCACAGTTAAGATTTTTTTCCGACATAGACTTACCCGAGTTACAAGCCGTCATTTCCGACGTCAGTGAGAAGCTAATAGCCGATAGCACTTGGGTGAGTTTTACCACAGACATTTGGACGTCAAGTGTTAGCCCCGTTAGCATGATTAGTCTTACGGCGCAATGGATGGACAAAAACTTTGAACTTCAAAAACAGGAATGCAGAGGATCCCACACTGCAGCTAGGAACCTGGAACAAGTCTCCACAAGTGAGACAGCATCGCAGGTAATAAATAACATTTAACACTTTTCCTTTAATATAAGTTAAAGTGCTATACATATCATATGACTGTTACTGAATATATGTCACCAGCTCTTACAGCTGTTACACAATTTTTGTAGCAAATAAGTCTAAATAAGAGGGCTATGTTCTGACAGAGGAAAGTAGATTAAAATGTTGGTATCATCGGCCAAATAAGTTTTAACATATCGGCGTATCGTTTATCGGCCAAAAATCCAATATGGTGCATCCCTACTTGCAGCCTCCTCCCTCACTTCCTGCTTAGCTGAAATAAAATCTTGGTTCACATCAAACTTCCTTAAATTCAAATGTGACAAAACAAGAGTTTCTACTTGTTGGCACTAAATCCATCCGATCTCAAGTCAACAGTTTGTCTTTCCCTCATCCCTGACAGCTCCTTGGTTCCTCCCTTCTCTCAGGTCAAGTTCAGAATTCAGTTTAAAATCCTCGTGTACACATTCAAGGCCGTCCACAACCTGTCCCTCCTCGTCGGTCTGATCTCCTGCACATCACCACCCCTCCCGCTCCCTCTGTTCCTCCTCTTCTATCCACCTGGCTGTGTCCTCTGTTCGCCTCAGCACCATGAGATACAGCTTTTAACCCCCTCTGCTCCACAACTCTCTTCCTTCAGACATGGTGACTCTCCTCCAACCTTCAAACCACAACATCTGCTCAGGTTCAACATCTGTTCCTCGCTCTCATTTCTGCTCCTTTTTAATTGTTTTTGTGCTTTTATTGTAGTTTCCTACTGCATTGTGTTTAATTTAGCAAAGTGTCCAGTAAGTGTAGATCTGGTCCCTGACCCAGATGAAGTCCACTGTTCTCCCGGTTCTGAAGTCCATCAGAACCTCCCTCCTAAGGTCACAAACGGATGTATCAGCACCAGCGTGGTGTCAGGTTCTGAACCCATCATGGACTCACTGCTCAGAGGCCAGGATCATCTTGCTCTGCATCGGGTCGACGGGTAACTCGGCCATCCTGCGACCCAGCTGGACCCAAACAGAAACAACAAGCGGTTAGAGAGCAGAACCAGAACCAGATCTTTGGATCAGGAAGTCGACGACTCAGCAGTTTAAAGGTAAAACAGCTGGCTGATCTGTTAAAGCAGAGGATTAAAACAAACTTTCTGGTTTTAATCTGATCAGTCTGTTCAGAAGTTAAACTACAACCTGAGTTTAAATTAAAACTTCCTGCTTCCAGTCCATCGACTCAGTTCTGTCTTTTATGAGCCGAACCTTCTTGTTTAAAGACGTTGTTTCTTGTTTTCTTATTTTTAGGAAAAAGTGAGTATGTAAATGTTTAAAAAGCTCTTCTTTAAATTCTTTCCATCTCCTCTAAATGTGCTGAATCATCCAGAGCAGGAAGTTTAAAACACTGTCGTAACGTCTGACTCATCCTTTGTTTGTTTTCTTTTCCATTCCGAGCAGAAAGACTTTCTGAAATCTTTCAAAGTCTCGGATCAACAGCTCTGCAAGGTTCCTGAAGGTCTTCAATTTTATCACGTTCGGCTCTTTGGAAAAAGCTAAGAACTAAAAGAAATAACTAAAAATAAACAAACGATAAACAGCTGAGTTTTGTTGAAGAAGCTGAATTTAAAAGGTTGATGTTAAAACAAGCAGAACAAGAGCCAAAACGATCAGAACACAAGCTAAAACAGGCAGAACAGCAACTAAACTTTTAAAATAGCAAACAAAAAATAAAAGCTAAAGTTTGTCAAACTGAGGCTAAAACTTAAATTAAGAATCTGTAGCTTGAAACTAAAAGTGACAAAACCACAGCTGAAAGCTTAAACTGGCAAAACTGTAGCTAGAAGCTAAATGTGGCACAGCCATAGCTAAAAGCTAAAACTAGCAAAATTGTAGCTAAAGGCTAAATGTGAAACAGCCATAGATAAAACCTAAAACTATCAAAACTGTAGCTTAGTCAAATGGGGCAAAATTACAGCTAAAAGCTAAAACCAGCAAAAATGTAACTTGACGCTAAATGTGGCACATTCATTGATAAAAGCTAAAACTAATAAACTTGTAGCGAAAAGCTAAATGTGACACAGACATAGCTAAAATCTAAAACTAGCAAAGCTAGCTTAAAGACAAATGTGGCAAAATCACAGATAAAGCTAATACTAGCAAAACTGTAGCTTAAAGACAAATAATGCAAAATAACAGCTAAAAACTAAAACTAGCAAACTTGTAGCTAAAAGCTAAATGTGAAATAGCTAAAACATAAAACTATCAAAACTGTAGCTTAAAGTCAAATGTGGCAAAATTACAGCTAAAAGCTAAAACCAGCAAAACTGTAACTTGAAGCTAAATGTGGCACAGCTATAGCTAAAATCTAAAACTAGCGAAACTGTAGCTAAATGTAGCATAAAAGACAAAAACAGGGTGGGTTTGTAGGAGCATGTTTTATTTTTAAAAGATTTTCATGTAATTCTGTGCAGTATTTTATTTGATTATTATATTTTTATTATTATTATATTATTATTTTAATTTTATTTATTGTCTGAGCAGTATTTTATTTTAAATAAAGTTAAATATTTAGAAAAGTATAAATGTTACAAAAGTCCCAGCAGCCGTCTCCTGAATGAGCCGAACGTTTTGATGTTTGAACGTCTGGGTCCAGACTTCAGAACCTCTTTTGGGTTTTAGAACTTTTTACAGAAAACGTCTAAACGTGGATGAAAGGAATGTTTTCGTACCTTTGTGAGCTCTCCCATGTGGTTCAGGGCTCCCAGAGCGTAAAGCTGCTCCAGAGCCAGAACCAGGGTCTCGTGAGGAGGCGGGTCCATGAAGTCAAAGTGGATCAGGTCGTTGATCCCTGCACAGAAAATAAAAACAGGATCTGACCCAGAGACCGGCACCAAACAGAACCCCCCGTCCTCACCAAGTCCTCACCTAAACTTTTCAGCAGCAGGACCACGTTCCCCAGGTTGGTCCTCTGAATCTCAGGGACCGTGGTCTCCTCCATCTCGTGCTTGAAGGCCCAGGCCGTGTAGAGGCGGAAACATTTCCCAGCAGCCACTCTGCCAGCGCGGCCCGCTCTCTGATTGGCTGAAGCCTGTGAGACAAAAACTGTTTCTGATTCACTCCTTGGACAAACGTCTTTCACACTTTGGACATTAGAGTGGACATTTGTCTTCTTTCATGGTGTCTCTCTGATGGAGGACTTGGGTTTTTCTTTCAGATCTTTCCAGAAAAACTGGAGACATTTTGGCTGTGTTCAAACTAGCCGTAAGCTCATCAGAATTTAACTTTATTTCTATAAACTGAAACTGTTAAAAACTTATCTGCAACAGGTAAGATACTGATTGCTCATGAACCTACTTCAAAACCATCTGAACAATTCAATTACAGTGAGTTTGTCTGGAATCAACTGGACCTTAAGCCTTTTACTGTAATCAGTTTAGATGATAGCTACTATTCTGCAACTTTTAGCTAATGTTATGCTACTTTTAGCTACTCATCTGCAACATTTAGCTAGTGTTATACTACTTATTACTTTTAGATAGCGTTTAGCTACTTTTAGCTTTTATTTAGCCTTTATTGCTCATTTTAGCTAGTCTTTTGTTAATTTTAGCATGTAGATACTATTCTGCAACTTTTAGTTAGTTTTGCGCTAATAATAGCGTGTTACTAGCCTTCTGCTACTTTTAGCTTTTAGATATTATTTGTGGCAACTTTGAGCTATTATTCTGAAACATTTAGCTAGTGTTATTCTACTTCAAGCTTTTAGCTAGCCTTTTGATACTTTCTGCTTCTTTTAGCTTTAACAAGCTGGTTTTAACTTCTTCAGCTGATTTCAGCTCATGTTCATCTCTCAGCATCACGCAACATATTTTTAAATTTTACGAGCATAAAAAACAATCTGTAGGTGTTAATATCTCAAAAGTAGCTAAAAATACCCCTCTGAGTGTTTACAAGGTTTACAAATAAAGCTAAAGCTAACTGAAACCCCGTTAGACGAAGCCTCGTCGACTTCCTGTCATTAAATGGCGATTTTTTTGTTTTTACCCGCGAGCACGGCGTGACGATCAGAGACTCCATGCCGGTGCGAGCGTTATAGCTCTTCTGCTTGCAGAAGCCAGGGTCGATGACGTAGATGATGCCGTCGATGGTCAGAGACGTCTCTGCGATGTTGGTAGCCACCACCACCTGAAAGAAAGAAACAGGAAGTGACACGCTCAGATCGGTTGTTAAACAGGAAGTTGGCTTCAAATAAAACCATGTCGTTTGGGGACAAAGAGACCAATCCAGCAATGAAAACAGGTTTGATCCGACTCACCTTTCGGGCTCCAGGAGGAGTCGGAGTGAAGATCTTCGCCTGCATGTCGGACGGCAGGTTGGCGTAGATGGGAAGGATGAGCAGCTCGGCGATCTTGGACCCGAGCCGCCGGCACCGCTCCTGCAGCATCTCACAACACGCTTCGATCTCCTCCTGAAGGAAATGCAGAAACAACACGGTTATTCCTCTGCTGCCGAGTCTGTATTCAGCTGCTGAGACCAGCCGAAACATCCAGGCCACTGCAGCCGAGTCTGTATTCAGCTGCTGAGACGAGCCAAAACATCCAGGCTGCTGC